GGCTGGCATGTGGTGCTGGGGGATTGAACCGAGGTCCCTGTGCTTTGCTTGGCTTAGCTTGTTCTAAGTAGGTGCTTTAGACCACTGAGCCATCTCACCAGCCCAAACCTTTACTTTTATCATCAAATATGTAGGTAGTCACAGGTATGCATCAGACAATCCATTTGGACTTTGATGTTTAATAAAAGGTTTGGAAGCACTGGATTTGATACGGCCTGACAAAACAGCCCAGGTAAGTTCAATAGAAAAATGTTAGCCTTGAACTCACTAGACTGGCCTCGAACTTACAGTGATCCTCCTGCCTCAGCCTCTTGAGTGCCCAGATTACAAGAATGTGCCACAACGCCTGGCAAATGATTGAATTCCAGTTCTATAAAGGATACAAGGGCTTGGCAGGTGGCCTAAAAGTTGCCCTGTTCGTAGGAAGCTGCCTTTGAACTCAGGCAGTGCAAATCAGATCCTCTGATCACCAGAGGACACAAAGGTCACCCTGCGGGCTCACTGCCACCCTGCGGGCTCACTGGCTGAGCTCTATTTTGTGTTCACACAGGCAATCATAGCCCTTTTTAGAATCCAAAGCACACACCGTCCACATAATTGAGGCCTAGATTCAAGAATATGCTTTTTGTTACCAGGAATGCTTTATTTTTATCCTAAAACTAATGTTTCAAAAACAGGTAACACAACTAGATAAAACTCTTTCCTTTTAAGCCAGACATGAAAGAGAACAACAAAAAAGGTACACTCTCATTTTGAGAAACATATCAGCCCAGAAACAAATTTTAAAATAGAAATAATGGCCTTATTTTAAAAATACAACCGAGAGAGAAAAAGAATTGGCATTGGTTCCTACTTTTATTGTAGGACAAAAATCTTAACATCTACCCTAAGACACTCAGAACACTGCACCTAGTTTATCTGCACACAGATTAAGCAGCATTGTGGTATCTTAGGTCGAGATGCAGGTCCTCGGGGTAACATGCAGCCCCCCGCCCGCTTACCCAGCTCTGCCCGGAGCTGCTGATACTGTCTGCGCAACAACCCATGAGGGCGCGATGAATTTGCTCCTAAAGTTCACGGCTGCTGTTGTAGCACCAGTTTTTCTTTGGAGCAGCAGCTTTACTTTTCTGCAGTGTGTGTGTTTCTTGATTTTCTCACAGTGTTTTACTTGGCTTAATTTTCAGGTCTTGTGACGGTTCTTATCATTTAAATGAAGCTTGAGACTATTTTAGTCTGATGACTATGAAAGTCAGCTCTGCCATCATCTTTTGCACTTGTTCAGTACCACAAATGACCATTAGGACATAACTACAGTTAAACTGATATGAAGCCTAGGAACAAGTGTCCCCAACCTGCAGAGGCACAGGGGACAAAGTGGGCTCGAGGCCATCAAGAGGAAGAAGAGACACCGGAAATAATTCAAGAGATGGTGACACAGACATATACGCAATATATATTCATTCACTTACAGATACATACATATAAAATTGACCAAATTAGAGATGAAAAATTATACTCTTCATCGTAAATAACTTGTAACTCAATAAAACAAAAAAGCAATCACCTTGTCACTAGCGTTCTGAAGTTGGTTCTGTAAAGCTAGTACTTCTTGTTTTAAAGCCTCCTTCTCCTGCTGAGTCCCTCGAAGGTCGGATTTAATTCGGGACATCTGCAGGTTGGTGTTCTGCAGCGAAGCTTCTAGATCCTGAACCTGCAAGATAAGAACAACGTTACCCCGCTACACAAACTCTGCAGCATGTCCAGCAATGAATGAACAAAGAGAAAGCAACTCCGAGGTCCTTTCTGGTTGTGTTTACTACACCCAGTTCCCTTTTTTTCGGTAGCCCAGTGGAAACCCAGGATGTTATATATGTTTGTAGACTGCTAAATGATATTTAGGAAAATGATAAGCTATCCCTGGAGTAAGGCATTGCTGATAGTTACCTGGTAGAGCCAAGGGGTAGCTCAGAGAACCAATAAATACCAACCACAAAAAATGGTCTCATTTGTAGAATCTGGTAGAAACTGTTTTAGCTTGAGAGTTGGTTTTTTATTGTTTTTTATTTGTTTTTTGTTTTTGATGGAACCAGGGATTGAACTCAGGCCCTTGTACTTGCCAGGCAGGCGCTTATTCTACTGAGCCATTTCCCCGGCCCCAAGAATGGGCCTTGTTTTTTTATTGTTATTGGTTTTTTTTTGTTTTTTTTTGTTTTTGAGAGTTGGTTTTTAAAAGGCTTAAGTGAAAATAATACATATCCGTAGAATCTTCACATTCATATCTCAAACAGATTTCCATAACATCTGAATTTGTACAAGAAAGATCTTTAACAGGGCATGAACCTGCTTCAGAGTAATCTTTGTACATTATACTCAAGTTTTATAATAAGTAATCTCATAATTTAGTAAACTTGGTGGGAAATATTGTTTATTATTTTACCATCCTCTAAATGTGTGTCACATTAGATCCTGCAGAATTACTGGGAGGTTCTGTAGAAGTCATTCTCCCCTTGAACACTGCTTTTACTAAGCTATCTGTCAGAAGATGGAGGAAATGGGGCGGGCCCAAACGTGAGCAGGTCACCCCACACCTTTTCCTGCGAGTCCACCAGCTGCGACTTCAGGGTCTCGTTCTGGTGCTCCCAAGACTTCTGTTCCTGCTTCAGGGCAGTGATTCTGTGCTCCAAATGCCTTGACTTTGCCAACTGTTTCAGGAAGAAAAGAAACAAGAGGGGGCAGGTTTTTTTGGTACCGGGGATTGAACTCAGGACCTTGCGCTTGTCAGGCAAGCACTTATTCTACTGAGCTATCTCCCCACGGAGGGGGCAGTTTTGCAAATGTATCTAATCTTAATTTATAGGCCTCCACTAACATGTCAAGAACAAATACCATGTATTAATGTGGTAGAGCAGGGCATGGTAAAATAAAGTAGCTTTCCTGACTCTCTTAATTTGGGGCAAGTCTCTTTATGAATGGGTTTATATATTTTCCCCCTCATTGCTTCATATTTTGAGTGTTGGAAGCAGCAAAGATAAATTAGAAATTTCACGACTGCACTGTAATAGAAAAAAAGAATGCTCAAAGGCAGGTGGGGGAAAAGCAGTGGTTGAGATCTGTTAGGAAAAATATAATAGAAAAAAGTGTGTGTCAATGAAATAGGTCTTAGATTAATAAAAGTTACATTATGTAGAAAATACTCATATGGGGGCTGGGGAGATAGCACTGCTGTCTAGGTGCCTGTCTGGCAAGTGCAAGGACCCAGGTTCAACCCCCGGTATCACATGCTGCGCCAGCCCTGGCACCCTGGGTGTGCTGTGCTGGCCACCAAAACCAGGCATGGTGGCGCACGCCTGTAATCCCAGCACTGGAGAGGCTGAGACAGGAGGATCGCTATGAGTCTGAGCTGCACCACAAGACCCTATACAAAATAAATCAATAAATAAAAGATTTAAATTTTTTTAAAAA